TTGTTGTGTTGGGAGAGTCATGATGCTCCGTTGCTACCTACATATGGCTCCTCAACAATACATTCATGCTATTGCCCTCATATCTTGCTTTCATGCGTGTGCTATGTCATGTGATTTACTCATGCCCACTATTTGCACACATGACATGATTGCCATGATTCCCTCTAGTATGTTGCATCTTCGCACTACTAGCTTGCTTGACTTGATCGTTATGATTTCTTGCTTTGTCGTTTCACCCTTGTTCCACTATTACTTGCTTTCTTGGGTTGATAGCACCTATGCTCATGCCTCTCACATGATTTATATCGATCATTGTCTATTGTCTCCATTACTTGCATCTCTCATATCACCTTGTATTGAGTGCCAACTTGCTATGCTTATTGATCTTGGAGACTTGGACACTTTACTTGTGAAGCATGCTTGTTTGATTGAGCCTATTGTATTTGGTTGTTCTCGCATCATATGCCTACATAATATGAAATGCTCCCTTGTCCTTTCTTATGATGAGCATGATGCATACACTTGTTGGGTATCTCGCCCCTCGAATGATAGGTCTTGCTTTTGCACTAACCTCATTTGTTTTTCCAAGTGTTTCTCATGTTCTTTCATTTTGAAGGATTCACAAGGCGGTACCATCAATAGACATTTTGGTTATGTTAAGGCGTACATGATGTGCAACACCAACATTGGCGAGCATCTCCTAAAGGTGAACTCATTCTCTTTGAGCCATCCTCACATATGCATATTGGATGGGCCATACTTTCATTGTTGTTTCCTTCTTCTTGTCTACATGCTACATATATTGGATGGAGGACCGACATTGGAGATGGACCCTTTGGACCTTCACATTGAGGAGTGCCACGACATCAACCTATGCTACATCCATGCCTACCGTGTACATGGCGATACGGTTTACGATCTGAGGTCGGATCTTTCCAAAGGGGGAGGAGATGATACGGAGCATCCCACGTTCATCTCCATGTACACCTTCATAGCACATCAAGCCCCAAGTGGACCTACCGGAGTTAAGGTGAACCCGCTCTTCTTCGAGAATATCATGAATATCCATTGGACTTGCTTGCTACCTCACCAAAGAGCTCTATGTGTCCTTAGATACGAAGACCGACGACCACAAGCTGGTGAGGAACACCCCAAAGGAGTTGGAGAAGGACCACAAGGCCACAAGAAGGAAGAAGGAGGGCGACGTGACCAACTCTGCACCTCCCAGGCGACCCCGTGCCCACGGGCCTCGAAGACCCCGTGCGCACGGACTACTCAGAGAGTTTGCGCTGGAGCACCCCGTGTGCACGGGCCTGTACCGTGCCCACGGGACCCCCGTGCGCACGGGCCCTACTTACCCCGTGCGCACGGGCTCATCAGGATGGACAACCGTGATCTCCACTCCGAGCCCCTCTTCCTCCACTTCGTCCCCAAGACTATATATTCCGTACCCAGACCATTTGTTAGGGTTAGTAAAGGATATGTTAGACATATGAGAGCTTTGCTCCATGGATCCACTCCACTAGGAGATCAAGACCTCCTCTTGGAGTGACCTAGCTCAAGACCCCCTCATGGGTGGCCCCTATCAAGACCTCCTCACGGAGAAGAACCCGGTTACCTCTTGTATCGTCCTTTGTTGATCGTGGATCGTGTATCTCTCTTTGTGTTCATCGTTCTAGCACATGTGTAATCGAATCTTGTTGGTTTTAGTGATTCTCTTGTGTTTTCCCCATGATTTCCCTCGTGCTCTTCCGCTCGTTCATCGTGTTCCTCGTAGGGATCTTCTCCAAACGTGAAAGATCGACCACATAGGGTTTCACCCTACATCATATGGTCTTCCCTTAGTCAAATGCAGCAAGTATGACTACTGAGATTTTTTTGGAAAAGGAGGCGTATCCCAGGCCTCTGCATCCGAAGAATGCATGCGGCCATCTTTATAAAAAACGAAGTTCAAAACAAAAATAGTCTTATCTCCATTACAGCTCGCAAGATGAGCAAAAATAAAAAAGAGTTCTCAAAGCCACAGCTGCCATGTGTAAAAGAATAGAACATTAAACGCCTATTCTATTAAGAGACCGTCATCCAAACCGGTTGAAAATATCACGTGCTACCGTCTCCCATTGGATGCACCCAGTAACCAAAGGCTCCCTGGACTCCATAGGAGTGAGTAAGGACCACGTATGGATCCAAGCAGTAGCTACGAATATGACCTACAAGAATGTTAAGGAATATTGTCTATTAAAGATCATATCATTTCTGCAGTTCCATATAGCCCAAAGAAGCGCACATATTCCAGTCCGAATACTAGCCGCAGTAAGCAAATCTATACCAGCTCACTAGTAGAAAACAGGGCTTTGGTCACGGCTCAATGTACACATTAGCCCCGGTTGCATCATGAACCAGGACTAATGTGAGCATTAGTCCCGGTTCGAGCGGCTAAGGCGTCGGGGCGGCATTAATCCCGGTTCAAATGGGACATTTAGTCCCGGTTTGCGACATGAACCGGGACTAAAGGGTGCGATGCCCTTTAGTCCCGGTTCGTGTCTCAACCCGGGACTAAATGTTCAAACTCTACCCCACCCCCCACCCCCAGTGTATCGCCTTTTCAGTTTTGTAAAAAACAAAAGAAAATGATAAAAGCTTCAAAAATTACAATCCTTCGAGATGTAGTTATGTTACTACATCTACTAGTTAGGAAAACTAAAAAACTTAAATTTGGACATGTTTTGCAAAAAAGTGTTATGAAAAAGTAAAATGGCCATATCTTTTGCATACGCTGTCGAAAAGAATGCATAATATATCAAAAAAATCAGCACAAAAATCCGCATCCGATTTTGATGGCCGTAAGCCTATTTGCAAATTTTTAGAATTCTCAAATTCTGAAAGGAAAAAATATATGCTCAAATTTTAGTTTTTTTGACTTTTCGTTAAATATGGTCAAACTGTGGTCAAACTATGGTCAAACTAATTATTCAAGAAATATTAGTGTTAATAAATAATTATATTTAATTTTTTTGACTTTTGGTCAAACTGTGGTCATTGTGGTCAAATTTGATCAAACTATGGTCAAATCTGGTCAAACTATGGTCAAACTACTTATTCAAGAAATATTAGTGTTACTAAATAATTATTGTTTTTTAGAATAATATTTTCAAACTCAAACGATGCTTAATGCTCAAGTTCAACTCCTAAGGGTTAATAGGATTGACAGCTAGTATTGTCAGGAAAACAACAAGTGCAGACTTGAAAACTAGGGGGAATAGAACTCGAAAGTTAAGCGTGCTCAGGCTGGATGAGGGGTGATTAGAGTGGGTGATGGGACTAAAGGTGGAGCTCCAGACAACGGCCACGTGAATAAGACAACATCGTGGGCTACCCACCCACCTTCGCTTTATCAAGTTGTCCTTGGTAAGGATCACTTGCTTGTGTATATAAACCACATAAAAATTTTAATACGCAAGGGGACCTTCACCTTCCAAATATGTAGGGATCTTGGGATTGGGCCAGAGTTAATGAGATCCATATAAAACGATTTAACCGTGAACACACCGTTGCTTGTTAGTTTCCAGATAAAAGAATCAGGTTGGTCAGATAAATGAGATAACGCGTACGTACATACAAATCCGAATCCCGACAGGACGTATACATCAATGCTCATTTCAGCGGGGGGAAAGTAGTCGAGGTTGATAGATTCCATCGAATTCAACATCAAGATCACGCCTACATTGATCGCCGACTACCAAACTTCACGTTTGCTTGCTAACTACCAACAAGGGACAGCACCCACATATTTATATGATTTTCTCTTGACAACAACATCAACATGCAGCTCAAGACATGCATGCGTTGCATGCATGTATGTCAGCATATACTCCCTCCGTTCCTAAATATAAGTCCTTTTAGACATTTTAAATGGACTACAACATATGGATGTATGTAGACATATTTTAGAGTATAGATTCACTCATTTTGCACCGTACGTAGTCACTTGTTGGAATCTCTAAAAAGACTTATATTTAGGAACGGAGGGAGTATACATGTGCATACATGTCGCGCGTGCTTCATATATACTACTCTCTCCGTTCCTAAATATTTGTCTTTCTAGACATTTCAAATAACTACTACATACGGATGCATGTAGACATATTTTAGAGTGTAGATTCACTCATTTTGTTCCGTATGTAGTCACTTGTTAAAATGTCTAGAAAGACAAGTATTTAGGAACGGAGGGAGTAGTATAAATACCACTATTTGACAATCTTGGTTTACACAACTAGCATGATCATGTTGATTTGTCCAGTTAGTTATGGTGCACGTATATGTAAAATTGACTATACTCTAGTATATATATACGCTCCTCAAGATCACTGTCATGCATCCGGTATCTAGTATCGAGCTAGTATTACAATAGTGATTAGAATGCGCCATTGAATAATTCTCTAGCTAGCAGGTTCGATGCCCTGTCGCTATAGGGTTAGATAGAAAAGTAGCACCAAAGGGTAGGACCCTCTCAAGGGAGGAAAAATTTGCACATGAAGTGTCAAGATGATGCCTCTTGCACATATCGCATGCTATAATTAGGAGGATCCCTCTGGAAGCAAACAAGAAGAGACTAACCAAGATATTAGTTATCTTAATTCTGATTAATTAATTAACAGAAGAGTGAAGGAGGCAGAAGCCAGAGATGGATGGAAAGGGCCAAGGCAAAGAGCTCATATTAAAAAGGGGGGCTAAACACCAACCAACCATTTGCATGCTCCATCCGTCCTCCTTCCTTCCTTCCATGCATGCTATGTCATGTTCTACTAAGCTAGCTAGCAGAAGAAGATAGTTCATCCATGCATGCATGACACCTCAATATATATTATTTCTGTTTACGATCTACATAGCTAGCTAGCTTCCCTAGCTATAAGCAGCTACCAAATTGGTTGAGAGGGAGTGTGCATTGCAGTGTTGAGATCAGTCACTGGTCGATCTGATCTCTCAACTGAGGTGTGTGCATGGGGCATCACTCTTGCTGCAACCAGCAGAAGGTGAAGAGGGGCCTGTGGTCTCCTGAGGAGGATGAGAAGCTCGTCCGCTACATCACCACCCACGGATATGGCTGCTGGAGCGAGGTCCCCGAGAAAGCCGGTACGTAATCTTGATCCGTCTATCTCGATCGGCTGCCTCGATCAGGCCTCTCTCATTCGATTAACATATGAGTATATAGCTTTGCCCCTTGATGACCAGTTGAAGATGGGGCTCTCTGGCTCGGAATTCATTTGCTTTGCTTAATTTTGGTGCAATGCCATGTTTTTTCTATGTAGGATTGCAGCGGTGTGGGAAGAGCTGCCGGCTGCGGTGGATCAACTACCTGAGGCCCGACATCCGGCGAGGGCGGTTCTCGCCTGAGGAGGAGAAGCTCATCATCAGTCTCCACGCCATTGTTGGCAACAGGTAGCTGGGACACAATGGAAAATTAATTAGCATGATTCTTTCTAATTTGGAGGCA